CCAGGCAGCGGTCGATGATTTCGTCCTGCTGCCTGGTGGGGCCGCGCGCCTCGCCGGCTGCTGACGCGGGGGACCTGGGGGACCCGGCGCGCTTCCCTGGCCTGCGCGGGCCCACGGGCCAGAAGCTGGTGCGCTTCGGCGACGAGGTGGGTGCGGCGGGACTGGGCCGCTCAGGGCGGAGTGGGCGGCGAGAGGGAGTTCAGATTTCTCCGGGAGAAGGGACCTTTACAGACAAAGTGGAGACGGTCGAGAGGAGATCACGCGAACCTGGGCTCTGATGAGGCTCTGCCCCTTAGCAGCCTGGCCCTTGATGAGTTGTTGACTTAGGGCCTCGGTTTTCCGGGTGTGAAACGGGAATAATGTCAACCTTTCCCGAACGCCAGGCTCTCGGGCCGGCAAGGGTTCGGACTTCAGTGGGGGAGGTGGGACTGCCAGGCACCGCCGCCCTGGGATACGTCCCCGGGAGACCACAATGGAGGTTATGTTTGGGTGTGACATGTGAATCCCGGTACCCACCCAAACTCCGGAGAAGTTGAGATAACTCCTGCAAGCTTGGGCTCTAGGCGCAGGGGGAGGAGAGAAACTGCTGAAATTGCTCCAGCCTGACACTGCTCTTAGGCACAAAGGCTCCGGAATCGACGCTGCTCAGAAACCTGGTGTTTTACTTGGGGACGGTTTCTCTGAAGCCCTTTGTGCCACAAGAATATGTACTTGGACCTCAGAGACTCAACTTTGTTGTGAAGGACAAAATCAGTAACAGCCAGAGTTGTGAAAGTCCGTTTGGGTGGAGGCAGTTTTCCAGGAGGGGCAAGGAGAGTTGTGGATTCCCCCCCCCCCCCCATGCCGGGGGTTGGAGGGGGGAAGGTTATGCCGAGTGGAAGGGATAGAGTCAAGAATGAGATTTTTCCGGCCAGGTATTCATCGATGTTTGTTACTACAAAGAACGCTTGTGGTCACAAACCGCCTTTCCTGCCAGGGACTTGTGAGGGCAGAACTGTCCACCAACGTTGCCTTCTGCTCCCCATCCTACTTGAAACTCCGAGGGCCTTGCCAGGAAAAACAAGGGTGTGGTAGGAGATGAAAATATAAGTCTTAAAATATATTCCTGGAGCCGAAACATTTCATTGTGAAAATATGCATCTCCATAAAGACGTGGACAGAGTTTGCGCTCGGATCTGGGTGATGAGCGGGCAAGCAGTTCCTCTTTGGCAGTGTCTCAGGTAAATAAATCTAAGAGGAAGCAGCCCGGTCAGTGCTTAGCAGATGCCAGGGATGGGCTGTCACTGGCCCTGAGCATATCAAAAGGCCAAGCCACGGTGGCCAGGGTCAAGAGATGTGCCCACCTGGTACCAGACTGCCCTGTTTCTGCCTTTGTAGACTGGTATGGTTTAGAGCAAATGGGGACTGGGGAGATGGTTCTGTCAGTAGAGACTTGTGCACGGGAGGATCTCTAGCAGCCACTGAGGGGTGTGCATACTTGTGATTCCTGTACTGGGAAGTAGATGACAGGCAGATCCCTGGGGCTCGCTGGCCAGCCAGTCTACCCTATTTGTCAAGTTCCAGACTAATGAGAGGTCCTGTCCCCAAAGACAAGGTTGACAGCATCTCAAGGGGCAACACCTAATGTTGACCTCTGGCCTACACTCGTACCCAGTGTCTGCACCAAATGAATGTTGTGCTGAGCTATCTCTCCACGTGCCCTTCAGTAGCACCCAACCTGAATCTCCGCAGCACAAATGCACAGGACACACACACCTCCAAGGTCCCTGAGCCATGCCGCTCAGCCCAGGCGGCAGAGGGACAAACAGCCTTGAGTTCCGTAGGACGTCAGCCAGGGTGGACGTTTCTTTTTCCTGCAGTCGTGTGAGGTTTAATAGCACAGGGGACATAAATTCCACTATTCAGTGAGAGGTTGGCACCAAATTGAAGTCAGCCAGTGGTCTCATGTAGGACTAGTGTCTGACCCCGGGACTGACAGATGGGGACACCTGGGGTGACTCCCAGCTAGGTGTTTTGGTACCCAAATAGGTGACCCCAAATTTGAGAAGAACAAACAAACAGACCAGGGCTCCAAAGCCCTTTCTGCTTACTAAAGGATGCTGCCCGTTTTGTCGTCCTCCATTGCCAGTGATGGTAATTGCGCCCCTCATAGTAACACCTTCTAGTCATTTTTTAAAACTGCCATTATTATTTTTAGTATCATCTACTCATTTTTATGTCTTCCAGGAACTAATTACAGACTAGTGACCATAGGTCTTGGTGACTCTGGATGTATTAGGGGCTCCTTTGCCTGTGTACATAGGGGCAGGGGCAGGCACATGACACCTCGGTGTGTGTGTGTGTGTGTGTGTGTGTGTGTTACCCTGATCTCCATATAAAGCTGGATGACTGGGCAGAACTCACATCCCCTCTTGCCTGGCTAGTTTAACCTGGTCCCCTGTAGAGATCATGGTTTCTGCCTTAATGTTGAAACAAAGACAGGACTGTCAATATTTTAGCTACTTTGGGAATCAACTGAGCAAGTATTTTTCTAGGCTGTCATAGAAGCTAGAGGCACCCTGACTTAACCCCCCAACCCCGGCCCCTATCAGCCTTCACCAGCTCCACTAAAATCATGGCTTTGTGGATAGATCTCAGCGGAGATAAGCAGAGAACTTGGTTTTGTTCAACGCTGCCAGCCTCCTGCCCCGACTCCAGTGTTGCCTTAATTCCTTCACTAATGTTCTCCAGCAGCAAAGAGGAGGGCTTGGAGCCCCAGGTCCCAGGTTCAAGTCCGGCCGTGTCAGCACAGGGAGCCCCTCTGGCAGGGTGAAGCGTAATGTGGAATCCGTGGTTTGGGGCAGGCAAGGCCCCTGGGGATGCTCCCTCGGCCTGGCAGCCTGGTGGCCTGGCGGGTTTTCCTGAGAACATTAAGGCTTTTCCATGGGCGCTTTCTACAGGCTGCCGGCTCTCCCTTCTCTGGAAGATTTGTTCTTTCAGCCGCAAAGTTCTGGGAAAGACTTTCTTTGAGGGATGAAAGGTTTCTGATTGAGAAGGTATCACCTACTCAAGTAGGATCACCTACTTCTCAACAGTATACTCTACTGTTGTCATGGGAAACAATCCAACGAACCTAGAACCCTGAATATTCAGGAATCGGTTGCATCTGTTTCCTGTCCCCAACCCCAACTCCTTGCCACACCCAGCAGGACCCTGCACATTGGTGAGTTCCGGGGTTCCAGGAGCTGCTATGTGCTTAGTTCCAGACAGACCCTTGCAGAGGTGCTGGGCGCGCCTGCGGGGGTGAATCTTGGCTTCTGTGGCATCTGCCTGCCTCTACCACCTCTCCATGGTGGATCCCGGCAGGAGTGGTGGAGTGGCTCCGCCAGCCCCACACCCTTTGACCTGGATTTTTAAGACCCTGGAGCCAGTTAGCTCTGAACCTTGCCTGCAACTTCGGCGACAGCTGCCTCCGCCGCACACCTCCTGTAGGCCAGAGGCCTTCCTTGTGCTCTTATGGTCTCTGCTCAGGACCCCTCCTCCTAGATCTTTTTGGAATTCTCCTTTTTGTTGGGTGTGAGTTTAGCCCGAAACTTGGCTTCTGGATCTGGGACCTGAGAGGGGTTTTCTTCCTCTTCCATCTAAAATGCAACTTTTTTTTTTAACCATTTCTCTTTACTTTTTATCTCCCTCACCCCCGACCCTGTGTGTGTGTGTGTGTGTGTGTGTGTGTCCATCCTCGTGCAGAGGGCAAATCTAGGGTGGAGCTGTCCACCTTGTTTTTTGAGACAGAATCTCTGTCTAACTGATGGTTCGCCTGTTCAACTAGGCCAGCGAATCCCCGGGGTTCTGTCTCTACCTCCCCAGCTCTGGGATTATAAGTGTGTGCTACCTTGCCCTGCGTTTTACCAGTGTTCTGGGGAGTAAATGAAGTCCTCTTGCGTGTGCAGCAAGCGTGCTCCCAGTTAGTTCTGGTCCCAGCTCCCAGCATTTTGGCGGGTGGGGAGAGTGACTTGGGAGTTGATTTCTCGGAATTTTGGACTTGGTTTTCAAGGAAGGTGGAATGTGTGAATCACCATTCCCTCCTGGCTGGCATATCCATGTGTATTTTAGAAACGAGGACAAGGTAAATTTGGCCTCTTGAGTCCCTCTGCCCAGACCCTGTGCTGGGCGGCCGGGCTAGCACTGAGAATTATCCAGATGCCGCAGGCTGTGAGGGAGGCTTGGGCCTGTCCCTCCTGTCCCCCTTGCTGATTGATGGTTCCCCAGCCTGATAGCACTTGGCCTGGTGCCCGGAGCTGAACCAGCAAATGTGGCTTCCCTCCTGGGCGCCTCCATTGCTGGCTTCCATGGGAGGTGACCCAGCGGCAGCCTGGAAACTGGTTTTGCAGAGATCAGTTTGTGTTGTTCATTCTGGGAGGACAAGAAACACAAGGGCGGTCTTGGAGTCATTTTTAAATTGACAGGAGTCACCCCAAGGAAGAGGTTCAGGTTCCCATGGTGCTGGAAGAATATAGCCATTTCTCAAAGATAAATAAGTAACAAAAGAGAGATGGCTACATTCCTGCTGGTCCCTAGATCTCCCCCCTCCTCCCAGTCTGTTCTCCATTCTAATCACCAGGAGAGATAACCCCTAGCCCTGCCCATGCCCGTGATTCTGAACTTGTGACCCTAGTGGAATTTGTCACACGCTAAATCACCAGGGCGTTCTGTCTTTGAAACTGCAGCTCTGAACGCCCTGTTATGGACCCCCACTTCAGCAGAGACAACAAGACCGCTAGCCTCAGACTAGCACCTCTTCTGTATGTGCCCAGTTGCTACGAACAGGCAGTTGTTTTTTGAAAAGGCAGTAGTTTAATGGCTCTTTTCAAACCCCCATCCTTTTTATTTGTTCTGTGCATGGAGAGTGAACCCAGGGCTCCCCGCCAAGTGCTCTACCTCCAGGCTATGTGTGGCCCAGCAATGTCTTTTTCTACCTTTTTAGTCTGGGACAGGGTCTTGCTAGCTGCCCAGGTTGACCTTGAACTCAAGGCAGGCCTTGAACTTTTTGAATCCTCTTGTCTCTGCCTCCCAAGTAGCTGGGATTGTTGGCCTGTGCCACCTGCTGGGCTTGATGTGGTTTACCACCATGGACATCAAAGAACGATCACTTCATTCCCTTGTTCCT